ACAAGGAGCAATCAAGCAAATCCTGCTTGGCGTCTGCGGCAATTTTTCAATCTTCCCTATGGCGAGAAAACGAAGGATTCCTCGACTCTCTTCCAGAAGTGGCTCGCGTAACAAGAAAAACCGAGGGCGAGGCGAGAGCGTAGCATCTGAACAAGCCAAAGAAAAGCATCCCGGCAAGAGCAACTACGTTAGCTGGCGGTGCGATCAGCATTTGTGCGTCGCGGAAGAAAAAAAAAAAAAAACGTGCAAGTACAAGTGTACGCTCGATTGCAGTCGCGAGACAAGAAGAAGACGCAGGAGAAGAAAAAGAAAACGATGGCGAATGAATACATCTCTAAGCCGTGGGAGCTGAGGAGGACGGGGAGTTCGTAAATAAACATCCATTAAGGTAATGGTGCGTCGGGACGAGACGGAGTTGGGGGGGGAGTGCGAATTTTCCATTGTAAGCAAGCCAACGTCGAGAAAAGAAAACGCGGAGGAAAAAATTCCGACACGCTTGCAATCGACAACTCTACTCTTTTGATTTTTTTTTTTTTTTCCAGCTCCACGTTGAAAATTATAATGATAAAAAAAGAGAAGGCGAAGGGCTCAGAGAATCAATATGTAGGCATTTGCATAGTTAATAAAAAAAAGGGTGGAGCTTCCTTGAGAAAGCCATCACGGAAAATGCATAATGCATCGATGCGGCTAGCCGAGGTATGTAAACACTGTCTCTTCCATTCTGTCCGAGGATGAGAAAAAAAAATGCCAAAGACTATATTAATTAGGCGTCCCGTTACTTATAGGAAGCTTCCATGACCTTATCGAATTTCTAGTTTTGTCGATCGCCGGAAACTCTGGAAATCTGAAACAGGGAAAAGGCACTGATTGATGATGAATACATTCACTAGTTCAAGGATGAAAAATCAGTGGTTTCTATGCCACTGTTTTTCTTACATTATTCGATTCTGAATTTTCTTCACCGACTAAAGTAGTTACTGATTTTTCACTGCCGTTCATTTCAAGAGGAAGATTTTACGAATCATGTGTGGTATTCAAGCTGCTCATTAAAAAAATGTAAATTGTACCACTGATTTACATTTACAGAGTGTGGATTTGAAATTCGTATCGAGATGTTTGCTCTCGAGCCCGTGACACCTATACAGCTTGGAGCTGAAATAACAGACACTTGGGTATGATTTTACACGTAATAAAATCATCCAGTTAATAACTAAAATCTACGTGGACCTGAAATATGATGTACGTTTGAGTCGCCAAGTATACGCCCGCGACAATCCCTGACAATTAGAATGAAGCTGAGGTGCCAAGATGGTGGTGTCTGCCTGCGGCACACAACCAGGAGAATATTAAATTAGCCCCTGTGCCCCTCCCCTCGCGTCTAAAACCACCGGTTTACTTCGAATAACGTCTTGAGGCATCCATTTTCAACTGACTACTATAAATTCCCATTGGTCGGGTTATTAATAACTTGTTCTCTCTTGGCTGAGTGACTCGGAATTTGAATAATCGACCCAATGTAGAGGGGACCCGAGCTCGGTCTTGACATTATATTGAAAATCCATATTTGATTCGGATGGAGGGGAGGCCAAAGCTACTGTTTGCCCTCTATTTCTTTTGCTTCTTATTTATTTATGTCAGGCGTAAACTTTCTTTATTACTTTGCAGAAGGGGAAAAAAGTTACTGCCAATCGTTTGACAAGAAGCTTTTTTAAGCTCTTGGTTCTTAATTCTTTAGAAATTATTGCAGATATAAGATTTTTTGGTTGTGAATGGTGATGAAATTTAATGAGGTTAAAACTCATTCAACGATCATAGAAGTGCCATATTTCCTTTTTTTGCTAGTCTCATTAGTTATGAAAGCCATAAAAAAAAAATCCAATACATTCCAAAAAATATATAAAACTTTTGATGAAAAGTCTAACTGTTAAAATACGCTTTAATTTTTTTGTGATATCTCAATTGTTATAGACGTTGTACGTTATACAGACAATCAATTTATTCTGAACGGGATATTTTAAATCATTTTATGGTAAAATTTACGAAAAAAATTCCTGAAAATTTTCACCCAGCAGCTTCGCAAAGCCTCCAACAGCGAGTTGGCAAAACGAAAAACGCCAGTTTTCGACAAACCCCATTAAGGAAAAACGGGCTCATAGGACATTTTTCATCTTTTTGACAGTTCTCTTCGCCCGTTTATTTCACGAAAAAGTAGCCCGACAGCCTTTACAAATTCCAAGCCGTCTGTCAGAGTTTTCAGCTCGAGCAGAGAAAACGCAGTGACGCTCTGCCTACCGTGCGAATACATAATCGTATGAAACTTGAAGTACAGAGAAAAGCTCGGGAGACGTCGACCTTGCGAAGGGCCTACCCCCACACTGACGCACTCACCTCCCGGCAGAGAAAAATGTCTCCGCAAGTTTCAAGCCGGAATACCAGCTACAGAGCCAAACCCCACTATACGACGAGTTCCACCCAAGACAGCAAGACCCCTTTTTCCTCTTTTTACCCGTGCGTATCATTTCACATGCGCCAATTACCAATCAATCAATAGGTTTGGTGTATCTTTACTTGCATAAAGTCTATAGCTTAGCAGTATACAGCTGTGCATCGCGCATCTACTGTTGTACGGGCGATGGAGATGCATTAAACGTATACCACGGAGCAGTGTCAATCCGATCGAACAGCCATTCGTGCGTGCGTACAACGCGCAGTGTAAGAGTACAGGCGCGTGTGTGGTTCGGATTGAATCGAGCTCGATGTCCGGAAACGCTAGCGCTGGTTCCAATAATGCATTGTACCGTCTAATCGCAAGAGTAGCGGTGGTCGAAGGGAGGTGGGGAAGGATTTACAGGCTCGAGCAATAATCGGCCGCTCGATCACGCTTAATAAGCCTGGAGAGTTATGCGAACTGGCGTACAGGTGGCTGCTTCTTCGAGGCGCTTTGTTATCTAGCGGCTGTCGCTGATCATTTATACACGAGGGGGATAACAGATTTGTTGGTAAGTTTGTTTTTATTGCTTGTGTGTATGTTTGCACGCGTCTGTCTCGTGAAACGAAAGTTTCGCATTAATTGCTGTTTCAAACCTTTTGTCTATAGAGAATGAGTTACCTTATATCACTTTTAGCAGCATCAGATCAGAAACAATTGATGTGTTAAATATCCTTTAGCTTCTCTTTCTTCTTGTAATCAAAATCACATAAATTAATTCAACAGAATTTTATTTCAGGGAACAATTATTTGTTTGAATAATTGTTTCGTTATTCCTTTTTATTTTCAAGCTGTATACATGGTGTGGATTTTATACATTTTCTTAAATTTTCACTGTTGATTTTTTCCATTAGATAAAGTTCAGCAACGTTGTTAAAATTGTATTACCAACTCATACTTGACTTTTTACGAAATTTCTAAAAAATTTATTGATTATGCAAAATAACACTGACAAGTTTGTTAGGCATAAAAACACTTCATTTTAAAGAAAATTACCTAGCTCGCGCACAATTTTTCCTGTTCGTTGGGAAAAAAATTGTTTAATTAAATTAAACAGGAGAGCCAGTATACCACTGCAGATGTCGGTAAAGGTATTGTTTCAAACTGGGCAAGTTCACAGTCACTGATATTAAAATTACTCATGTACAGTATAACATGGTGATAGCTTTTCTCATGGAGGTACAATTTGTTTTTGCATATAAATCGTTGAGTATTTTTTTTATTTTTTATAAATGTTTACATAAATAACCACAAAATTTCACGACAAACCAAATATATATTAAATAATACATTTAATTTTATTTCATCAAATAGTATTTCAACTAATAGTTGAATGGAGGATTACTTTTTCATTAAATAATATAGTAAATTTCTTGATGAACAACTATAATATATCCTCTTCAATGTAACCAATAAAATCTGCGAAAACGATTCCTTGTTTGATGAAGCAATCGATCAATTTCTCTCCTGTTTCGCATACATCGTTAGTAACTGAAAATTTTTTAACATACTTTAAAAAATTGTCATCGGCTACAGTCGATCTATTAGTCATTCGACTGGCTTAGATATTAGCTCAGACTGACTACGCAGCTAATTGATTTAAAATCAAAAAGTATGATGAAGAAGAATAATACAGAAAGAAATTTGATTTAACAAGTCGAATAAGAAATAAGTTTTTTTTTTTTTTTGAAGAATCAACTAGAACTGTACAGAGTATGCAGTACAAACGTTTGTGGTTTTCAGGGGATTATCGTGGTACTATATGCGCTAAAAATTTGGTGTATCAAGATTTAAGCTGATTGTACATCCTTCCCTTACCGTAACGATGAATTTTTTATGAGTGAATGTATTCGTGCATGCGCAGTTCAAGTCGAGGTTCAAGTCTAGTCATCTGTTTGCTTCGTTTTCATCAAATTTTGGGCAAAATGTGCTACTTTACATTACAAAATCTCATAAACTATAAAGCTAGGCCTTGGGGCAATGCTTCTTAACATAGTCAGCTTCAGCATATTAGTTTTTTACGAAAATCTATAGAAAATTAAACGAGTTATATGAGAATAAGCATCTTTGGCAGCGAGCTCGCGACGACCTCTCCATAAAAGCTCTATAAAAGCCCGTGTATAACAGAATAACTTGAAGATTTTTTTTTTCAAAATTACAAAGCTAGTTCCTCTAAAATTTTAATATGATATGTATAGTGATAAAATAAATGTCTCATAATTTTTTTTAAAAATTCTATGGAAAATGAAATATCACGATAACCCCCTGAACGTATAATATGTATGATAATTAATCTTAAAAAAGTTTTAGCTTATGTACCTGGCACATTTATACATTTGTCGACGATTTCGTTTACTTTTTTTTGAGGGAGTGATCGATTTAGAGCATCCCACATGATTTTTTCATTCATGACTCTCGTATCTGGCATCGGCTTCATTTAAAATAATTCATTGTTAATATAAAATAGTTTTCAAATTAAAAAACAAAATAAGGATTTTCGCTTACAAANAACAGTCGAATAGACAATTACTTTTTCTTGAAATAATGTGATGAATTTATTAAAATACATAACTACAATTTATCCTCTTCAATGTACCCCATAAAATCTGCGAGAATAATTCCTTGTTTTATGAAGCAACCAACCAATTTCTCTCCTGTTTCGCATATATCTTCAGTCACTGAAAAATATTTAACATATTTTAAATTAAATTCAGCAAGTTGAACTATAAATCAGAAATTTCTTTTTTTTCAAAGAACTAATCGTCAAATTCTGTTGCAGAAATTGTAAGAATTTGAAATATATTTTAATTAAAGTTTGATGGCAAATGTGAAGGACTGAGCTCTACTAAGTATGGAGTACATACAATTTTAATGGTTTACGGTCTGGATGTATGTGCATAATGATTAATCTTAAAAAAGATTAAGCTTACGTACCTGTCACATTTTTACAGCTGGCCATGGCATTATTAACTGTTTTTTGAGGGAGTGATCGATTTAGAGCATCCCGCATGATTTTTTCATTCATGACTCTCGTATCTGGCATCGGCTTCATTTAAAATAATACATTGTTAATATAAAATGGTTTTTAAATTAAAAAACAAAATAAGGATTTTCGCTTACATATTTCTTTTTAGTACAAAAACAGCCTATGTAACACTTGTAACTCATATCGGATGGAAAGAGACGCCGCAACTTGATTTTTTCTAATTTGCCTAAAAAAACGAAAAAAATTTCAAATCACGAATCAAACACTCGATGACATAATTGTCTTTCAGAATTTAAACAACAAGTTGGTAAAATTTTTGTAAAATCATAAGTTATTACCGTAATTAAATCCAGATTCTATATAACAGAATTTTTGTGTATCAGATATACTCCTTACTAGTACTATTGGTTCCTGAAAATAAAACGAACCATTAAAAATGTTTTAAACTGTGTATAATAGCCATCACATTGTCAATAAATATTAAAAGTCTTGCGTAAATTTTAATAAATACAAATAGTTTATTCACTTACTGCAGAAATAGAACTGATGCCAATAGTAAGTACCATTAGGATCCACATATACATCGTAAAGAATTAAAAATCTGATAGTCAGAAGTTTACAGAAGACAGTAACACTTTTCCTCTGATCAATCCACTAAAAGTGTCGAACTTATATACCAAAATAATAGTAGATTACAGTGGGAGTACACTAGCCCCACCATTACAGTGCTGTAAATATATTTATAAATTAGGTCAGCAAATGTGCCAGTGATAATGAATTTTTTAATTGACTTGGGCATAAAAGTGAAATTGCATTCAAAAATTATAAAAATTTTACAAATAATTTACTGTTCTCAAGTGGGTTATCCAATATATATAAAAATTTTAAACATCTTTATAATGTCGTTAATCAAATAAACTGATAAGTGGTACGGTAGCGGAGCATTCCAGTTTGGGTAGCAAACGATACATGGCTACACGCCATTATATACATCAAATTTTGATTTACGTATAAATCAATTATATATGTTTGGTATTAAAAATGTAGAACCTCAATTTCTATAAAAAATTCTGACAGGAAATTCTTTTAAAATGTTGTGGTGATAATTAGTTGCAAGTCGATACAGTCAAATCGTGTGTAGAGTGATGTATGAAATAGACATGATGAATTTTTTTTCTCTCGTATTTTTCCTCTTTAATTTCACGGACAAAGCGTTTGCCCGATAACCGGTAGATTCGGGTCACAAACCTCTTAACATCGAAGGTCTTTTCAATTGACCAAATTACTTTTTCACTAATGGTTATTGTCATTTATAAATAAAAAAATGAAAAATTTATTCGATTCTAAATACAAAAATGAAGCTAATAAATGTATTGTCTCTTTTCTTTGCTTTTTATTAGCTTTTAGTCTCTTCATTATGAATATGGTTTTCCATAAAAAATCTATATAAGTTATATACAAAAATAAATACGTTGAGGCATCGTTACTACTTATAATTTTCTGAAGTCATGGTATATATTTTACACGTCTCAGCTTCACATCATTTCCTTTACTCTCAGATAGCACTGTTAGAATTACATTATATCATACTGACGAAGAGCTTACCAATGATAAGAACTAAAAACTTGTATAAAAAACAATAGAAGTACCCAAAAAGTGGTGGAATAGGGTCTCAAATCCAAGCTTTTTAAACGAAAGGCAAGTGATCTGCCATTTCGTTTCTAAGACCTCGTAAAGAAATTGTCAACTAATGCGATTTCGAAATAATCTAACCATGCCACATCTTTAAAATTAAAATGTATCTTAACCAAAGTAATTTGAGTATGAACAGACGAGAGGAAGAAACACCGATAAAACCAAACATAAAGTTCAATGTATTAATAATATTTAGCAGTCAAAGAAACATGGTGATAAATTGAAACTTCAAGTTTTGCTAAATGAAAGTGAACTCATTAGTACAAAGAACCTTTAAAAAAATTGATTTTAAGATGCTAATTTGAGGGCTGTTAATTGTTATTTCTCCCTAGTTCTCTTAAGAAAAAGTAGTGAGATCCACAGTAATCTTTTGTTAACTTTAAATATGTTCACATCATTTTTGCAGTACTCCATGTTACAACAACATATTTTTTATAATCTGCAACATTAATGTTCAAGTCGAGGTTCAAGTCTAGTCATCTGTTTGCTTCGTTTTCATCAAATTTTTGGCAAAATGTGCTACTTTACATTACAA